TCAAGCTCGGCTGTGTGTGTGTGTGGAACGAGCCATTTTGTGTGTGTGCGAGCGAGAGAGAGAGAGCGCACCGGTACCGGAAATCGTTGTTGTTAGCTTCTGGTGCTAGCGAGCTACGCTAACGGATATAAGGAGTTTTTTCAACAACAAAGTGGAGGAGAGTCCTCTCCTGTCAGACTGAGAGACTCAGTGAACTAAAGGACTCTCTCAGTGTTATCTCAGTGGGTCTCAAACGTTTTGGTCACCATTAATGTAAACAATTATTTCCGAGGCACACGTTCATATGATCATTATAGTTATAAAAAAAGAAGAGAATAAATTAAAAACAGGTATGAACTACTATATGACAGTAAAAAAAGAATAAAGTTTAAAAGGGTGATTTGTAAAATATCCATAAAGAAAAAGTAAATCTGTTTACAGTTCTGTTTCAAATGGGTGTTGAGAGAGATGTATCCATAGATCTCTTCATTTTGCTCTCAAAGTGCACCAGATTGATGCTTTTAACTTCAATATTTAAAAATCTTCCCGGGGGAGCTTGCCCCTGGACCCCCCTATGTAAGATCCACACACCGCCTATAAAAATAGCACTTTACCCCTGCTTACACCTATATGCCGTGAACTGATTATCGAGCCTTCATTGTAACAGTTGCGGGTACGTTGTGTATTTGCGTGAGGAGTGTTGCAGTAGAAAATTCCACTGTAGCGACCGGTACATTAATGGGAAACCCTAAATGTTTGAGCACCCTCTATGAAACGTCAAGCTACCCCACAGCACCCCCAAAAGAAATCTCTGGCGCTGCCACTGAGCCTGACTATTTGTGTTGGGGGGGGCCCGACTTTTTTTTTCCCCCAAAGCGGGGGCCTGACAGAAAAAGTTTGAGAACCACTGGGTTAGAGGGAGAAAGTAGTGGAGAGCACTGAAGTGAATGGGTCTCACCACAGGAGGTCGACCAGTCCTCCTTGCCTGGCGATAGCTGCCTTTACACGGTTGGCAAACTGAACAGCATCCTCATCCTCCTGTTGGTGAAAAGTGGCATGAATAACACAGGAAAACAAGTGGTCAAAACTAATGAGAAACAACATCTCTACTCTCAGTTATAAAAGCAGAACTCAATGGAAAATTATCTGCCGGCATAAAAAAAACAAAACTGATATAGATGCAATCTGGAACTCAAATGTAATCCTCATTCCGATATCAGCCACCACCCCTTTCTACTTCTTTAAGGTCATGCTACTATTTACATGCCCCCCCCCAGGACACATGACTATTATATTGTTACTCATATCATTTTAATTATATTTTTGTCATTTATTACTCTCTTTTTCTCTAATCCCTCAAACGTGCACACAGACACCGTTTCTTTTCTTTCTCCATGTATATTTTGTAATTTGTCTTTACTTGTAATTGCACCGTACTGTCTTCTGTGTAGCTGTGACACTGTACTTGTATGCACTTGTCAACTCCTACATCACTAAATAAAAAAATAAAAGCAATACTCATTGAATTATAAGTGTTGAATAAGAAAAATGAATGTGTTGGGAAGCTTTGAGTTAACCATGAAGTCTCACCTCTCTGGACATGGGGGGGAGGTACCACACACTGCAGACGATGGCCCAGCTGCTCATCATACGCAACAGGTAGCTGACCATACCAAACTTGCTGCTGTTCCAGAAGGCGTCTCCAAATCGAGGGTCGTACTGTAAGCATCAAACACAGCACAATGTAAACTCAATGTAGTATTTGAAACAAACAGAAAAATGTACGTTGTTAAAATAAGACGTAGCAGGTACAAATAACACCTCGTAAAATAGAAAGGAAAACGCCGTACCTTAATGGCCACAGGGTAGACAGTGCCACCAATTTCAAAGCTGCCTTTCTTAAACATCATAACTGACGTGTTGTTGATGCAGGTCCCTGGGGATTCAAAGGATGAATAGAAGTTAAATTAAGACTTTTTATAGTAAAACAAGATGACAATAGTGTGATTATGAGGTTTTATCATCCGTACAAAATCATTGAACTAACTCACCTTCCGGGAAAATGAGAATTGGAAGTTTAGTTTTAACTTCTAAATGGTCACTCAATCTGTAATATAAAAAGTATGAAGGTTAATAAGTCATTTTGAGACAGACACAACATTTGAATTGACAAAAAAAAAACTAAGATTGACGGTCGAATTCAATATTAAAATGTGTACAAAACAACTCTAGCTGAATACCAAGAAGCATCTCACTGAAGGAAGAAAAGCTGTACAATGACAAAACATGACGTAAAAATAAGGGGTGAACTGTTACCTTTTGGCCACTAGATGTCGGTCTTTGACTTCTGAGCGTTCGAACCAAATGTGCGGGCAGGCCTTGACCATAGATCTCTGAATAACCCCCATCAAGCCGCCGTGAATCTGGCCAACCTGACAACACAAAAACAAACACAGATGTAATTTGATTTCTACAGACAAACAGCTGCAGTGGAAACAGGGACCAGTGGCAACGTGTTTCTAGCTTCCTGCTAATCATCAGTATTATTACCATGGCATAGCAGCCATCACTGGCCAGGATGATGACATCAATGGGTGAGGTGTGGTTGGCGACACAGATGCCTCCCTTCTTGGGTTTATTCTCACTGTAAAAAGGAAGGAACATCGTCAAGCAGGGTATTACGAAGGCACTTCCTGGAGGATTCAATATCAAGAACTAAAAAGCAAGCGTCTAAATACAATGAACAGAGCAATGCAATCAAGAGGCAAAAATACGCTCGGTATAAAAAGTGGGTAAGCTTTTCACCAGATTCTCACAGTCTTGTTGGGAGAAACAAAGCAACTCGTGGTGGTTATGTTTGAAGATTTGACACCCAGAGCACGCAGGTCGTGAACCCACTGACTGCACATACCAAAGATAGAGATCTTAAATAGAGAAAGAGAGAGCTATGCTTTCTCTGAAACTTGTATATTTTTAGCCCTTGAGTAGAGAACGATACGCGTTACAACTAGCTGGGCTGAGGCAATAAAGGGTTTTATAGCTACTCGTGATAAAAACCCTAATCATTTTTCTTCTCTGAATAATAATAATAATAATAATACGTGATACTTGTATAGCGCTTTTCTAGACACTCAAAGACGCTTTGACAGACAATAAAACAACAACAAAAAATACAAAAAAAAATACAAAAAGAGATAAACAAAACAGAAAATAG